GGTGGCAAAATCCGCATTTTTGCCTACTTGCGAGTAGCAAACCGCTTTAAAAAACAAACATGAAATGTTTTGTTCCAATTTAGGCGATCCAGTCTATACTTGTATGTTGTACGCATCACATAGTAATTCTAGGTTAATAACCGGAATAAGAGCACATGTGTTTTCAAAAACAAGATATCATGTTAGTAAAGGCCGATCTTTGATCGGGCGAGCGGGGGTGCTCATTGCATGAGAGACGATGAAGCGCCAGATAAAAGGCAAAGGGGTGGCAACAAAAGAGAGACGCAAAGGCAACACAGACTCTTGCCACTCAAAAGATCGTGACAGACAAGTCACACTATCACAAACTGAAAGAAGAAGCCTCAGGTCAGGCGATACATAATTAAAGACTTCCAGGACACGTTATTCCAAGCCTGAGAGAATGAGGACTGAAAGGGCTCGAATGAGAGAAGACACTCAGGCTCGAGACTCCCGCAGAGTCTCCGCACTACAACGATTGGCTCCTAGAACACATGAGAGTGTCAAGGTTGGAATTCCAGAGCCACGCCTTGCCTATGAACCAGCAGACAAAGCGTCAGCAAGGATGCAGAGCTCACCGTTCATTCCGACAATCTCAGGCTTCCACCAGCCTAAATTCACTACTTATGAGGGAAACTCGGACCCCTACATACACTTGAGCCACTTTTACCAGGTTATGGCCGTGTATCGGCGAAACGAGGCTCTAATGTTTATCCTGTTTCCTTTCAGCCTTGGTGACCTAGGTTTAGCGTGGTTTGAAAGGTTGCCAGAAGGTAGCATAGCTTCGTGGGCGCAACTAGCGGAGGCATTTGTGACTAGATTCAAAGCGAACACTAAGACACCAGTGGAGATTGACCAGCTTCTCTCCATATACATGGACAAGAAAGAAACGTTGAGGTCTTACAATAGTCGGTATTGGGAGATTTTTAATCAGATTGGAGATTGCCTTACAAACCTATCTATCACACAGTACAAACGAGATTTGCCGGCTGGCAATAAGTTGAGGGATTCAATGACAATGACGCCGCCCCTTACTATGGAAGCCCTAATGGAGAGAGTGCACCAACACATCCGGGTAGAGGAAAATAGGACGCGCACTAAGCAAGAGTCCAGCACAACAGGGATACCAGACAAAAAGCCTTTGGCGAGAGTTAACACGGTTGACAAGTAGGACCGACCGTGCAAGAATCTTTGCCCGACTGGGGGGCAATTAAGAAGTTTGGCTGGAATAACCAAACATGTAGCTCTCTTCAGCCGAGATCAGGATCTAAGCTGAAGAACGTTGCCCGGAATAACCAACTTTGAGCTCTCTTCAGCTGAGATCAGAATCTAGGCTGAAAAGGTTGGCCGGAATAACCAACACCTTGTTCTAGGTTGGCAGGAATAACCAACATCGAGCTCTCTTCAACCGAGATCAGGATCTAGGCTAAAGAAGTTTGGCAGGAATAACCAAACATTTAGCTCTCTTCAGCCGAGATAAGGATTTAGGCTGAAGAGTGGTTGGCTGGAAAAACCAACACTTTCCTAAGCCGAGATAAGGATCTAGGCTGCAGGAAGTTGGCAGGCATGACCAACAAAACTTTTTTGCACCATTTAGCCGAGATCAGGATCTAGGCTAAAGGCGGTTGGCAGGTATGACCAACAAAACTTTTGCACTCTTTGGCCGGGATGATAGTTTCCTCGGCCAAAGTAGGTTGGTAGGTTTGACCAACAAGTTTTTTGGATTCTTCAGCCGAGATGCGTATCTCGGCCAAAAAAAGTTGGCGAGATCAGGTAAGGCCAAGCTAATTAGTTTGGCTAGACATGTAATCGGAATGATGCAAAACATTGAAAAAGGCAGTAACCAAGCAAAGAGATCAAAATTTTTCAATACAAAATGTGGGACATATAGCCCGGTTACACAGAAAGAGCGTCTTCTAGTGCGATTGCGAACTTGAAGGATATAAATGTTGAAGGCAAAAATGCGGGGTTAGCTGTTCAAATTTTTGAAGGTACATACGGTTGTAGTAGGAGAACGAGGATAATGGGGGCACGTTACGTATCCTGGGAATGACGTCGTATCAAACATGCCAGATTAATTGAAGGACGTGTTGAGCAACTGATAAGGCTTAATGGGGCTGAACAAGCTGTGAAATCGAACAATTTTTTAGCTCGGCAGAGTAGGGTGTTCTTAGCTCGACTGGAGGAAAAATAATCCCAATCATGCTACGCAGATGGAATTAAGGGGCAATTGAGAGGGTAATTTGTGAGCAAATTGGGCCGAGCTAGGATGAGTCTTCTTTGGAAGTTGGGCCGCGCAATGGGCCAAGGAGATAATTTGTATTTCGGCTTTGGGCCGAAGTAGGTACCAGGACGGTTGGATGTGTTGCTGGGATTAGGACCTATTTACCTTCTGACCGGGATGTTGGCAGGGCGATGGGCCGAACTAGGTATAGCTCGGCAAGATACCAACCTGTAGCATGGTCAACACGGAGCCGAGGTAACATCAATGGCAAGGGCCGAGCTGTGTATAGCTCGGCAGGGTGGCATTCGATAGATCGACTTTCGATCACACGGTCCGAATGGCAGGGAACCGAGATAAGGCAGTTCGGTCATAAATGTATAACCGAGATAAAGGGTTCAGCCATTTCACTTGGCTTGCAGTGATGAGACTTCTAGGAGGACTCTGCTAAAGAGAGTTAGAGTCCTCTTGGGATTGTGCAAACCATCTCACTTGGTTGGTTGTGAGTAGGAGTGTGATTCCTAGGAGGACTCTACTAAGGAGAGTAGAGTCCTACTAGGATTGTGCAAAACCATCTCACTTAGTTGATAGTGAATAGGGTGTGAGATTCCTAGAAAGACTCTTATAAGGAGAGTTGGAATCCTACTAGGATTGGGCCAAACCAAGTCTATAAAAACTCATGGCCAGACCTATGTACAGGTATCTCAATTCTTACTCTAGAATACATAGAGCTTACTGTCTATTGTCTAGTTGCTGACTTAGGCATCGGAGGAGTTTCCGGCACACACCCGCCGGCTAGCTCACAGTTGTATTTTTAGGAAGTAAAGCGACGATATTTGGAGGAGCGCAAACTTGATCAACAGAATCATACGAGAAGAATTATTTCGTGCTCGTACAATGTATTTTTTGACTTTTTATAAAATATAGGTTGAGTATGGATTGAGTTTAAAGTGATGTAATAGAGAATTAATATGACTTAAATAAGATAATATAATTTAAATAAAATAATAATTTTTTTTACTTTTCAACTTTTTTGTAATATATACTCAACAAGACCTTTGTCTCTCAATTGTCCAACAAAATGAGTCAACAATCCCATTCATAAAAGCTTCCGTTGTGTGATTGTTTTGGAGCATTACGTGGTCAACGTCACATAGTGTGTCAGGACAACTGAATAATTAGCCCCTAGATGGCCAAAAGCTGCCCAATCGAGAGGTGGATATAATTTTGTTTTTTCATTTTGGTTATTATACTATTCATGTGTATTTTATGTTCTAAAAAATAAATTAACCAAAGAAACATCAATAAAGCCACTGGACAAGAAAAAAGTGACAAAGAAGAGTCTGATTAGTTGGATCTTAAATTTTAGTAGAGATTTGTGGAAATAAAATGAAAAAGTCAAGGAAAAAAGTGAATTCCCTTCTCTGTTAATTAATTTTTCCATAAAAATTCAAAATTTAAACATGACTTAGTAAAATAGACAACACTGGACAATAGAAGCATGGACTGAGTGAAACCGCCATGGGTACCTAAAATAGCAGTAGTGAACATTTGAGTGAGCAAAGAACAAATAGCAGATGGGCATGAAACCATATGTTCTAGTCATTCCTTATCCAGAACAAGGACATGTAATTCGCTTGCTGGAGCTCATGCAATGGCTATCCAAACACGGCTTCAAAGTAACCTTTGTGAACACTTAGTTCAATCACACAAGCGTCGTGAATGCATTTCCGGACAAACAGAGTAGTACTGTCCGGGATGATGATCATGATATACATCTTGTTTCGGTCCCAGATGGGTTGGAACCATGGGAGGATAGGAATGATTTGGGGAAGTTGACAGAAGTGATCTTTGAAGTCATTCCCGGGAAGCTTGAAGAGCTCATAAAAAAAGATTAATAATGGATCAGACAATGATGAAAAGATCAGTTGCGTTATTGCAGATGAAAGCTTGGGATGGGCACTGGAAGTCGCAGAGAAAATGGGGATCAGGTGGGCAGCGTTTTGGTCTGCGGCAGCTGCCGTGCTGGCTTTGGGATTCTGATTCACTCTGACAATTGATCTGATTTGTTCATCTTAGAGGCATTTGTGTATAGATCATTTAAGAAAAAACACTTAAATTGATTTTCATCATATGAATTTGTGACCCAAAAATTGGGCGATAAATATGATTTTAAAAATTGGAAGTTTCACTATTTTTTTTTTATCATAAACAGCTTACAGAACTGGCTTTGGGGCTTGACCTAACTAATAGACCATTCTTATCGGTTGTGAGGCCTGATCGTGATTATCCAGATACGGTAGTGCTACGTAGCTCGAAACCCGTGGCTTGAGTTTGGCTCGACACCAAAACGACGTCGTTTTGGTGTCGATTTTTTTTTTTTTCTTTTTTCCGTGTTTTTGTTGCAGAACGAAGAAGAAGAAGAAGAAGGGAGAAGAAGAGAAGGGAGGAGGAGGAGGAGGAGAAGGAAGGGAGGGCCGATGAGAAGGGAGTGTGTCTGGGTCTGATTGTGAGAATGGTGGAGGGGAAGAAGGAGAATGCAGTAGCATTAGGAGAAGTAGTCATGGTCATTGGCTAAAAATCAAAAAATAAAAAAAATAATTTTTTGGGCCAATGAGAAGAGACCCCAGCACCCCACTGGAGTCTCATGCATTTTCCTTAATTAATAGAGTTATACCTATGTGTTGATCATCTGATGGAGGGATGCATACTCAAAACATAGCTTTTTTTTTGTTACAACGGAAATAAAGTAAACAAGGGACTAAGCCCGTTCCCTAGACATTCCTACCATGTCTGCAACAAGCTGACTCTTGATCTTAACTGGTGGTTCATTCACCACTATTATGTCTTCAAGTTGTGCTGCTCCAAACTTGGCCATTGCATCAACACAAAGGTTTCTTTCTTTCCAAACATGTTGGATAGCGTAATTGCATCCTCTAAGTAGGGTTTCGGCGTCTTCCACCATGTTCTTGAAAGGACATTTGTCCCCTGATTCATCCTCCATCAATTGCACTACATGGGTTGCACTTATCTCTATAGTCACATTGCTTAATCCTTTTTGAAGAATGATTGTTAATCCCTTGTACAATGCCCATAACTCCGCTTCAAGTCTTGTTCCTGGTTGTAGTCTACCATAGTATCCACCCACATACCCATTAGTTGTACCCATAATTCATTATAGAGAGAGTTCTTTATATATTCTATTGTTTTAGGGGGCAATTTTGGCTCATAATTAGTTCATATCTTTCTGGTGGATGTGACCACTGGATTGAATTTTGATTGGAGCTACTATACTCCATCTATACCTTCAAGCGGAGAGATTTACATTCTACTAGGATTTAGCATTTCTTTAAATTTTATTAGGATTTAGCTTCTCTCCGGTCTATTATTTAAATCAGAATGAGTTGTTTGTTCAGTGTGGGCCCAACTCAGTGAGCTAAATCATTCATCTTGTAAGGCTTGTTGAGCAAATTATTCATACAAGAAATCAAATCAATCGAATATCAGTAGTCACATGATTAGATCACAAAATCAAGTTGCAAAAACTATGATGATTTTGTGATATGATCATTTAGCTATGGATGTTAGATCAACTTGATACTTTATAAGAATGATCTTCTCAATGGGCTTTACAAGATAAACGGTTTGGATTATCAAGGTGAGCCAACAACACTCTCCTGTCCAAAAAAAAAAACTGGTACTGAGTCACCCATCTGTAGCTTGCTTCTTCAGCCACTGTGGATGGAACTCCAACGCTATGGAGTTCCTTTCCTTTGCTGGCCTTTGCTGACAGTTTCTCAACCAAGCCCACATTTGTGAGGTTTGGAAAGTTGGATTGGAGTTTAATAATAGAGATGAAAGTGGGAGCATCAAGCAAGGACTAATTAAGGATAAGGTGGAGCAATTGCTTGGAGATGGGACATTCAAAGAAAGGGCTTTGGATTTGAAGGAAGTGATGGCGAAAAGCGTCAAAGAAGGCGAGTGCTATTACAGCAATTTGAACAATTTCATTGAATGGATGAAGGCATGGTATAGTAGACATAATTGATTCCAACAAGCTTGTTTTTTTGTTTTTTGGTTTGTTGTTTCTTGTGATCTCTTATGAAAGAAGAGAATTAAGAAGAGGAGATAGAAAGTGTTTTGTATCACAGTTAATGGAACAAAATCAAGCTTATTGGCCCAATCCCAAGTTTCCTCCTTGAGTGGTTGCACATATTTGGACTTTTATCCGGGTTTCATCCAATGCAAGGGATTTCTCGTTATTATATAAAATATAAAAATAAATAAATAATCCATATGTAAATTGTAATCATATACTTTTTTTTAGAGATGTGATCATAAATTTGTTAGTATATCAATACAGTATATGATGAGGAAGAAAAATTGTTTGTGGTCAATAAAATAACATAGAAACTATGCAAAGAGCGCCATTTTACAACGGAAAATGCTACATGTGGGTGTTGATTTCTGACCACACAACCAAATGAGGAACTTAGCTAGAGAGCACCGGCAAAATAAATTAAGCCCGAGCACCTGCCAACAAGAAGATGAGAATATCGCGGTGGTTCGTCCACCTGGGAGCACTCCGATGATCAAGTCAATAATCTTATCTCTCACAGATATCAATACAAATACTTAAACTTCAACAATAAAAGCATAAAAGCATCTCAGATAAAACATACCTTAAACCCATGAGGGTGTCCTTCTTTTATAATGATCAGTGTCTAACTTCTCCTAGAAGTCTTACTTTATGAGACTCTATCATTTACAAGGATAACATTTATCACAACTTATACTATTCAAATTAAGATGAACTCCCTCAAGAGTCTCATCTCTATCAAAATAGGTAGCTTGATGTCATCTAGGACTCTAGTCCTTTATCCGAATATCTCGAATTCCAATATTATCGCACCATATCTCGACACCATAGTCCGCCCACGTGGCACCTCAGCTAACAACCTCGGCCACGTGGACTACCTAAAAATATGTCCCCACAACTGCCCCATAGGTTCTATTACCTCGACAAACTGAGGTGATGGAAACTATACATGTACTTCCCCGACTGAGATCGTGACTCATTGGCAGCAAGAAATAAGGACTCAAATGTCCACTCGTCAAGAATCAAGAACTAAGAACCATGAACCATCATGTTCCATTTCATCTAGGTCCAACATCTCGACAGAGATCGCACTACTAGCAGAGATTATGACTTGCTAGTTCAAGAACATCAAGATCCTGGTATCAACTCATCAGAAACCAAGAATAAATAAGTTCTGCCCCTATTCAAATTCATCATCTCAACCAAGATCAACATCTCAACTGAAATCATCATGTTAACCAAGATCACCATCTCAACCAAGATCGTCATCTCAACCGAGATCATCATCTCTACCAAGATCAATATCTTAACTGAGGTCATCATGTCAACCAAGATCACCATCTTAACCGAGACCGCCATCTCAGCCGAGATCGACATCTCAACCGAGATCAATATCTCAACTGAGATCGCATTTCTCAATCAAGATCATCATGAGATTGGAGCGTACCAATCACATCCCCATCATGTCGCATCAGTTCTGCCCCCCGCCGTCTGATGTTAGCACGGGCATGTCAAGACTCGAAATCATAACTCTTTGCCATATTTTTCTAATTCCAGCAGAACCATTTCATTTTCCTATTTTGTCTCTATCTGTGTCCCTAGACTTTCTTTCTCTTGGCCTCTACAAACCATAATCACTGTTCTTGAAGCATTCATTACTATGAAGACTCCCTTTGTGCCCAAGGTTCAAACTCTACAA